TTGTCCACATTCTACTTCCGGTTGATCTGAAATTAATTCTCCATTTTTCATTATTTTTTCATTAAAAAATCAAATATAATATGTATCGAAATTTCGAGGGTGCTATTTTTCGACCTGAAGTTAGTCAATAATTCCCATTAAAACTTAAATTCGCACTAATCAAACCCTTTTTTTTTGCATTCTCCCTAATTAGAAACTCACACTTACATTACATTAATTAATTTATTTTTTAAATTCCTTGAAGTTTTTCCTTTTGAAAATGGATTTTTTTGTGGCAAAAATCAAATCTTTTTAAATATGAATTATTAATTGATTATTTTTGAGAATCATTTTGATGAGTTATTGTCTGATGGCAATGCACTGTAGCCCCATTGGCGCAGTCGGTTAGCGCGTCGTACTTATAAGTGAACGAAGAGATGCGAAGGTCAGCAGTTCGAGCCTGCTATGGGGCAAAGCTTCATTTTGCAAAATTGTTGCCACTTTTTTCAGTCCTATATATATGATAATTTCTAAAGCAATTCTTTTATGAAAATTTAAGAAATGAATAATCTTCCCTTTTGAAGTTCATCTTGAACTTTCTAAAAATCAGACAATTAAAAGGGAACACAAAGTCAATTGGTAAAAATTGTAATGATTCCAAAAGGAATGATTAAATTAATTATTCCAATATCACATCAGTGAACGAAATTCAGTGATTTCATAATTTCAATCGAATGAAAAATTTAAATTACTTCAAAATAACCATGCCTATTATATTGTATTTTTAATATTTTACACACACATTATAGCCAAACGATTAAGAAATTTACGATAATTGCAAAAGTGCAAAATGAATTTCAAATTTAAATCCATTTTTCTTTCATTGATGTGTTATTATGCGGTTTTGTTGTAAAATGTGAAGGTCGCAATTGTTCTTTTTGCATAAATTTGCACCTCAAAGCTATAATTTTTGTGTTCAATTTTATAGCAAATTTTTTTTTTTTTGAACATTTCAATCTAATTATTTCCAAAATTTGCTAAGGACTTCAAATTTAGAATTTTAAAAGAAAAATGCTCAAATACTAAACAAATGATGGGTTTTTCCCTTTTTTTTCTCCTTTTTTTTGCTTCATTCGTAGCGCCAAGTGAATTTTTGTTCGGTAACAATACTTTCAAAGTAAAATTCAACAAAAATCATTCAAACGATCATTCCATTTAGAACGATTGTTTGAAATAGTAAAACAGATTGAACAATGGAACATTGATGGATACTTAATGAGCTATGAAGTTAACAACCTTGAATTGCATTGTAGAACACCGAAGCTGTTGCTGGTACCCTTGTAACAACAATTGATATGACTAATGATCCAAATAGCGCCGTTAACATTTCTAAAAATTAAAATTTTTCTTTTTGCCAGTGAGAACTTTTCCTTTTTAAAATAGCAAAATAAATCGATGATTTATTGAAATGGATGGATAATCAAAATATGATACAAATACATTAGAGCAATTATGACATGAGTAATGAAATTAATGTAGCTGTACACTGCTTCAAGGTAAAATCGTTTTTATCTTGGGCACATTATTACAATGCAGAAATGATAACTGTGAAAGATTGTTGGAGTCCGGTTATACAAATGTCTCAGCACTGATTTTTTTAGATAATTTTTTTTTCAAACTGCGAAAAGTGTTTTCATGATAATTTAAAATGTCCTAACTCTTTTTCTAGAGTTCAATCGGTAATTAAATTTGCTAAGATTAAAGATGTGCAAAATGCTTGTACCAGACAAGGCGATGATATAAGAACAGATGAAGGTGACAAATTGAAGTCTTTATACTTTTGTTGTAAGAATGAAAGGGAATAAATAAAAGTCACTAAAATATGCAAAATTTCAGTGACCTATTTTGAAATGAATCAATTCGAAAATAATATTACTCATAAATAACATAAATTAATTTTAACCATAACAAGTGCAGTTTTTGAAATTAACAGAAAGTTAAACGAAAGCATTTAGGTATTTCATGCCTTTATTTACTAATAGTTCTATCAGTCCTTAAATCATTAATATACTATAGCTTCATTATTCTTATTTATATTTCCAGTTATGAATTAATTCCTCTCCTCTTCGCTGTAAATGATTGTTATTTTGAAAATAACAAGAACAGGACAATAAGATCCTGAAACAGTAATTGGAAATCTTGCCTCGTTCTACTATCCTACCAAAACATTTCATCTAAATTAATTAACTATATGTATAAGGCTGTTAATATTTTGCATAATATCAATCAGGTATCTTTAACATAGGACATATTTTCTCTTGACGTCATTTTCATGTCCTACACTTAACTTTAAACATACCAATTGTACGTGTAATAAGTATATACAGTGACCGACTCATCATTCTATCGCTAATATAAACTTTATATTGACAAATATATGAATGGTCAAGCGATGTTATTTCAAGTACTCGAGTACTCTAGTAATTGAACATTCGAGTAAATGATGCTTCAAACATGTAAGCAAGTCAAAAAAGAACTACACGAAAATACAAGTATGATAAAAATTCAAGTTAAAAAATTATTAAAATTTAGCGTAAAAATTAATTCGTGTTGTAGACAAAGTGTTGAAAAAAGAAAATTAAAATAACTGGGAAAAGATTGTTTTAGAACAGAGTTAGCAAACTGAAATTCAAAAATATTTAAAATTTGAGTTAATTTTTGGAAAATTTAACTGAATGAAAAACATTATCATACCTAGAATTGATGATAAGAGCTGGACGATTTTAATTGATATGATTATATTAGAGTGTAAGAAATGAATTTTATCTATTTGCATATTATCAGCAGATGAACCAGGAATGATGAAATTTTGAAAAGTTTTTCGAATCAAAATTAACTTCAATTTGAGTTGATTTCTGAAAAAGTTGCCTAACCCACCTCTTTTTTTTCCTTCTCTTAAAAACTGGAAACAGATTTGCAACCTTGTACTACTTTAAATGTAACTTTAGATTGCACTGTATGTATGGAAGGAATTAATGTCTGTAAAAGGACTGAAATGAAAGAAATTAATTGAAGGAAATATAAATTAGCTAATTTGTAAAATTAGAATAATTAAAAGACATCCGAAGATTTAAGTAAATTAGTTCGTTATTACTAAAAGCATGTACATTATCATGATTTCGGGAAAAAACTTTTCAAGATTCGACTTACAAATACATCGTAAAATTTGCATGTTTTATTGGATCGAAATTTGAAATATAATCTATTGCATTATTTGTCGATGTCAAATTAATACAATAATTGAAAAATATGAATTTTATACTCAAAATTAATATCTTAATTGAAATTGAAGCGATCAAAATTTCGAAAAATCTTCGAGGAAATGAAATTTTTTGACTACAATGGAATGATCCTTTGCAGGCAATAAATACATTGTGCAGGAAATGTAATGAAAAAGGTAAATCAGTAAATTAGATGAGAAAAAGGAAACTTTTTAAGTGCCGAGTTTTGGAGAATTGAGCTTTAGAAATTTCAAGTTCAAATTTCCTAATTTTCAAATTACAATGTCACGAATTCAAATTGACTCCTTTTTAAAGAAGGGAAAAATGTTAAGGGCTGACTTCGAATTCAATCTGAGCAATTATTAAAATCAAAATGCGCACAAAAGGGATGATGCAATGTGATTAATTTTATGAAGTACGCTGAAACATTTTCGAGATAATATGTCAAATACAAAGGAAAAAAAAGAGGATATGACGTGGGAGAAAAGAGTAATGTCAAGATTTGCCCTAATCTATTTCTATTCATAGAAATGATTAATTATAAATACTCATACCCACTTCCGGGGTACACGTCCATTCACTTCCCTTTCCTCTTGCGCCGCCATTTTTTTTCCTTTTTTTTAACTCATATCAAATTTCACAAAATTCTTTGCTTTTTAATCCGAATATTTATTTTAGATTAATTTATGCACAAGAATAAGAAAGTTCGAGAAAAGTGACAGTTTTGATTTAAATGTCTCACGAATTCATTTTAATAGTGAAGCTGTCACATCTCAAAGGTCACATTCATCATTTCATAGTTTAAATGTTATCGCATCAGCATCGTATAAACAACAGTCTGACCTCTTACTTGCTGATTTTGTATTCTCGAAAACCTCCTTGTAGTGGACTCAAATGGGAAATATTCAATGATGCTGTTGAAGGTCGAGTGACAAATGTTTGTTCGATATGAAAAATTTTATGAGTACTCTTCATTGTTTTCCATTAGTTGAATATATTAAGGAGAAAGATGAGAACAATTTCCAACTATTTCCTTTAATATTACCTCTCCGTAGTCTAGAAGGTTCAGTTGACCTTTTACTTTCATGGACAAAAGCTAAATTTTGCTGAAAGAAAATGGATAAAAGTTTGAGGAGAGAGAAGATTGAACAAATGAGAGGAAACGGGAAAGCAGGAGAATGGTATAGGTGAGCAATAACTTCATTTTCGATGAGTTCATGTTAAGGATACCATGAAGAGAGAATGTGCTGCCACTGTATACAGAAATGACCGCACAATTAACCTTCAAATAAATGGTTCTTAATGAGGGACAATAAAAACATGAATGTGTCTTATAATAAAGAGTTCGATATCAATAAATTGTTAGTAGTTACTATCAGCCAAAATACTAATTGCCAACAGAATACGCTAAAAGTGTTCGATATGACATAGGTTTAGATTTAATGCTAAAATCTGAATTTTATTTGAAAAATTGGATGCTAATTAACATCAAAGACTATCATTAAACCTATTTTATTTCACCTTATCTTGAGCAAAATGAAATTTCAAATTGATATTCTAGTAAAGTGTTGAGGATAATATTGGTGTAAAATCGACTTTCCTCATTTGAATTCTCTAAAGGATGATAGTTGGAACTAAATGAAACTATTTTCAGATTCGCAGTAATAAATTCAATAATCGTATTTAAATTCTGTAAGAAATTGCTTTTTGACAACAATGGAGGATCTTGTTTTAGCAGATATTATCTCATTATATGTGGTATGGTTTAAAATATGATCCATCTTAAATATACTTCAAAGAGAAATTTTTGCCTAAAGTAAATGCTGATATTATTAGTAATACTTTGTTTCAGTACCTCATTTTCCTTAAATTTAATTTCCTACCCTATTTTATCATAGCCATTTTTATCTGTAACTTTTGGCGTCATTTTTCAAGATTATATTTGAAATAATTTAAAAAAAAAGAAAAGAAACAAGCTGTTTAGGTAGTAATTGTTTAATGACATTTGTTAACAGTGATAACGTTAAGAAGGACTGGTGATAAAATCAGACGAGAATCGAATCTTTTTCAATGGCTCTATTTAAAAGGATGTGAACTGTCAAATTTGCAGAAATGTAAATTTTCAATAAAGCAATTTTGTTATTTGTCGCATTCTATGAAAAATTCTTTCCTTTCCAGCATCCAAAAAATCGACTCGTTGATAGGAATTGGAATGTCACTAGAAGGAATGAAAGAAACTTCCTTTCAAAAGCACTGATCCGCAAATGGTCACCGACCGATCATTGGAGACTTAACCTTCATGCAGCACTTTGTTGAACATATACTTATTTACTTCTTCTCTCACCTCTTCAAAATGCCATTTATCAGATATACTAATATTTTGCGCCCATTAATCTAGCAGTGTGAATTTTTGAAATAACTTTTTTGACCGGAAAGAATACCTGTTTTGGTTAAAAAATTGTTAAGAATGAAAATTGATTTTAGAACGGAATAAAGTCTTAGTTGCATTCCAAATAAATTAAGCTTGCAAAGAGATTGTAAATGAGAGTTTTACTTGTGAAAAAGAAAGAGAGAGAGAGAGAGACAGAAAGAGGGAGGGAGAGATTTAAACATTTCGTGATTGCTAAAAAGCCAGATAAGCCAACAAAATCAAATATGACGATGATATGTATGCGAATTTAAAATCAAGAATGAATAAATGGAAAAGGTAAAGCTGTTTTATATCTTTCATTCTAAAACAAGAAATTCACTTTGTTTTCCTCTTCAACTGATCATGAAATGGCGGAAAAAGTGAGAAGTTACAAATGTTGCAAAGAGAAGTTAACGATATTGAAGTGGGATGACAATACAGATTTGGTACTTTTCAAAAGATTTCAACATGACAGTTGATGTTTGATAGTTGGATGGATAAATGTATTTGTAAATTTATTGCGCTACAAATATGAAATAAAAGATCAGAGAGAAGAGAGGGACAAAGTAATATACAAATAAACTAATATCAAGAATGACCATGATCGGATTATTCCAACCGATGAGGGAAGAGTTCACGAATGTGGAAGGCGTACTTTTGAGGAAGGAAGAAAAGGAAGGAAAGAAGAAGGAGGAGTAGAGAGGAAATAGAAAGTCTTAAGGTTTTCAATAGATTCTTCATCTAATTATTATTATTATACGAAATCATATTTTCCTCATGGTTGGTTTACGTGATACCACCTTGTATACCATCCGATCACACCTTTTCATTTGTCCCTTAATTCTCTCCAAAATCAAAAGTCTCTTGTATTGACAATTTACAATTGAATTAATGTCATTCATCAATTTATTTTTAACAAAAAGTTAAATTATTGAAAAGCAAAACTGAAATGAAGAAATAATTTAGTTGAATGAAAATGAATTTTGGATTAATTAAATTTGATTTTATATCAAATGCTGCAGCTATAAGCAAATATAACAATGCATAAGCCATGAAGAAATGAGTGAAAATAGATATAGTGAAAATAGAAAAGGTCGTATTGCTACACTTTTTAAATATTATAAAAGATATCTTTTTTTTCCAAAGATACCAAATAGTGGATGGCAAAAGATAATTTCTAATTTTTACTCACATGCTTATATTTTGGTTTAGAATTCATCAAATATCAAACTTTACATTTACCCTTGATATCAATGTTTCATTTGCACTTATTAAATTGAATGATAAACGATTTCATATATGAAATTAAGATTAGTTCATATTTTTTAAAATTCAAACATATCTTTTTTTTTATGATTGTTACAGATGATTCAGTTTCTCAATTCTTGAGAAGTAATTTGATGAATAACTGATTGATGTTTAGGAAGTGAAAAAATCTTTTCGCAGTAATAATCATAACCTTTTTTTTTTTCATTTTTATGACATTCTTCTCATCTCTCACTAATAAATATAACATTTTAGTTTGAAATTTCAATCAAAATTTTCCTTCAATATAGTTAAGAATTATAAAATTTATGAAGAAAACGTTATTATTTGGTGAAATTCATTCAAATGGAAAATCATTCCATGCATTGGTTTCAATCATTAAACTAACAATTTTATCAATTTTATTGCAAAAAAAAAAAAGAAAGATTTCCCTGTAAAGAGAGATGAGAAATAGAAAAGAAAAGAATTAACTTTATAATGATCCAGTTTTTTCCTCTATGAAATATTTCATGAATTTAATGTACTTAAAATTATTTTAATTCTCACTTACTTCTCCAGTCTTTTTTTTTTAATTTTTTGAGATTTAGTTTACTAATTTTCAGTTCTCAATGGTTTGTAACTGAAATGCAGCAATTAGTGAAATATTCATATTTGTCAACTATGCAGTCACTGAAATGAATAAGATGGCTGCTTTATGATTCATCATCTTAGGATCAGAAGCAATGTACTGATAAGATATGCATTATTCAAAGGAATAAAATGATCGAAAATTGTGGAAAAAAGCAAACAAATTTTAAACGTCATATGGAATCTCAGGAGAAATGCTATCGAAATGCTGAATTTAGTATTTAATGCTATATCTGTCATCTTGTCACCTTGTCACATCTGTCTTCATTATCTTTCTATTTGCATAATCACCAAATGAACTGCTTTCAGAATATCCATCAATGGATGTTTCACAAATTTACAGCTAAAATGGTTTTTTAATTATTCTCTGTTGGCTGATAAGTCTTTGAAATCTTAAATCAAAAAAAAAATTTTTCTAGAACTTCAAAGAAGTTTTTTTTTTCAAGGAAATGATTTCATTTATTTTGTTCATCATAATTATTTCACGTATACTTGAATTTTTCATTCAAATCATATGCATACATTTCACAATATAGTTCATTTTTTGAAATAATTATGAATAAATCATAGAAATACGATACTGTTTCATTTAAGTTAGTATTTCATTTTACTATCATATCATACAATGTGATTATAAAATGAAAGTGACGTAGAAGAGAGAAAAAGAAAAAGTTTGTTAAATTATCAAATTTATCAACTATCCTTCTCCTACTTTTGTTTGCATCTTTAACATTCACTAACCACTCGTCCTGATTTTCATTTTGCGCATTTCCATATCCTTTACTAATGGGCATTTTGAAAATTTTGTCTCTTTAAAATAACATTTATCTCATTATGAAAAGTTTTAATATATAATAAATTAACCAGAAAAGCTGAGAAAAATTGAAAGCATCTGCCAAGAGGTTATTGTATAACCTTTCCTGGTGTATTGCCGTGCCATCATACACATTAAATGACCGAAAATCCTAATGACCTCTGTCACTCAATCTCTCTCTATTGTGAATTGAATTAAATTGAATAATCCATTTCAAAATTAATTTAAATATGGTGCAAAACGGGAAAAAAAATATCAATAAGCTCAAGCACACCTCATTTTTATGTCTTTATTTGAATGGATGACAAATAGCAAGTTTTTGTATACTTATATGAACAACCTTTCTCCTCTCTTTTTCTCTCTCTCTCTCTTTCTCTAAAATATAAATAGAAGTAATAATAACCTTCGAAGATTTTGTCTAATTTAACTGATAATTTCGTCAATTAAATTGAGCAAGTAATAAAACACGAAACTTTCAACTGCTTACTCATGAAACATTAGCATCATCAAGCATTACATGCTTTCCGTAATCTGTTTACGATCCTTCACGTAATTCCACGGACGGAAAATGAAGCAATTGACCATAAATAGTGTAAGTAGATGTAAAGTAGCAAAAAAGCGGTTTGAAAAAAGATGTAAAATAAGAAAGTTGGGAAGTATCAGAAGTACTTTTTTCCAGAACTTGGCTCATTTTATATGCAACAATTTTAGGATATTGAGAAGAAAATTATGTTTAAGGAGACCTATCGCCAACAACAAATCTTCTCCAGAAGTGACCGTAGGTATGTATAGGAAGTTTTATAGGTCAAGATGATACTTGTTTAGTTATAAATTACAATTACGGAAATTGTTTGCACAAATAACAAGTATTACTATTTTTGAATCAATGCCTTTAAAAACTTTTATTTAATTTTAAAAATTCTAGTAAAATTGAGGATGCGTTTGAATTACAATTATTTGCTTGTCCTTTTTTTCTACAAAATATGAAATGGCTGCTTTGGAGATGACACCACTCATCGAATTATTTTGACCTTGGACGGTGATCTCACCTTTTTCTCTGGATGCAGAAATTTGCTCAACAATAATTCTCCCATTTCTGAACATTTGAAGTATAACTGAAATTGAGTATATCACATTAGTCATTATCAAATTAAGCACATCTTTTTGAATAGGTAAATTTATCGGATTACTACCTATCTATTTTGGTATCGCTTGGCCAAAAATAGACATATAAGGTGAAAGGTGTTAAATTTAATTTCCCATATGTTGGAGTCAAACAATGTAAGAAGACATTTGGCGTTGAGAATTTATTACTTAAAAAAGAAAATGAAATTCATATAAATCGTCAAAGAGAAGAAAGTAAGGTATTTTATAATAGAAATAAGAAAATCATCCGCTGATTTCATTCTGTTTGATCACAGCTTCAAAAATTTTTGTAAATTAAAGTCAGCCCACGTTTTCCCATTAATTCTCGAAATTTTTTGTCAATCATTTGAGTTTCAAAAAAGTCACATCGGATTTCAACAAAATAAAAGCTAAGCCAATATACGATCCAGAAAAGGGATGATAAATGGTGATAAATTGCATTCTAAAACATTCTTGATGATATCTTATGATATTACAGTGTACAATGGAACGAGTTGTTGCATATCGCTCCTCCGGAAAAGGTATGTTGATGGGGGACAATCTCGGGACTGCATGGAGATATTCGATTATTGATGAGCGAGTGGATACTGGAGAAGTCTGCTAGATTGGGGGTATTGCTTCATATGCTTCCTCATTTGATCCTTCAGTTTGCAGCTAAACACAAATTTCCGGAGGAGAGTTTGTGCTGTTCAGTACTTGACTGAATGAAATTGAAATCCTCGGAAAACTTAGCTAATTTTGTAACTTATCACTGATCCTCACAAAAGCTTGAATGTTGGCGAAGAATTTCCAATTATATCAAATCATTGGGTTGGGTATGTGCATGTGTATGTATGTCAATGTATGTTCGTGTGTGTGTGTGTTTTTATTCTGTATGCATGCAAGTTTTAGGTGCTTCTCGATGTATTATGATGGAAGTATCGGGAGAAAGACAACTCTGGAGAATGAATTAAACGGAAAGACTTGAGTTTTGACGTGCGCTACCTTGTTACAGCAATGAAAAATAAAGAAAATTTTGGGTGGTTGATTATGCGTTATCATCAAAGCTAGGTACATAAATTTTTGAGGGAGTTCTACACTTGAAGGGATGTTGCACTCATTTCATCCCGTGAACATTGTTCATAAACTTTTTTCACGATTATCCTCTGGTCTGGAAGAGTCGTATCTGTTCGCATGTCCCTTCTCCTTCTGTAGCTTCTCGGACAAGATCCCTTAGCTACTGATTAAAAGTTTGATTTAATCCTTTCCTAACTCATATTTTTGTTGATGAAACACTTTGCGTTCAGTGATCCAAAAGTTTTTGCACAATAGTCATAGGTTCCACTCTCCGTTGTGATTCACTTCCTTCTTACATGCTTGTCGTGCTCTCAGTTTCAATTAGTTTCACATTTTGTAACTATACTGTTCGCTTCAGCTGCGATAGGAAATAACTGGTACTGTTTTGTATGATCTGGGAAACTGCCAACTGTTCTGTTCCTTGCTGTTAGCAATTTATCATTATTTTCGATTGAAATATCTACTAGTATTAATTCCTAAATTGCAGCAAAACACGTGCAAAATGAATCATGCAATTTGGATCTTAAAGATGATTTATTTATCAATTTCACTCAACTTTCAAAAATCATATGTGCACTTATCGAACTTAAGTCATACGCCTCTTTTGCCTACGGATTTTTTAAAGTTTTTCGGATACTGTCTTTCACATTACTCAAAAATTTTCAGAATATTATTTCCGAACATTGATCCTGTTTTAATAGAAGCAACGTTTTTGTTTCTTACTGCTTTGGTTTGTCCGGTCAAAGAAACAGCCGCTTGTGTTGTGTGAACTTTATGGCGCGGAAGAAGGAATACGGCGGCGGTATGGCCGCTGATGCAAGCAGTACAACTAATAGCGGTGCGAAACGTATGTCGAAAAATAATATGTCGAGTGATGCACAATGTAAAATGGACTTAGATCGATTGAATCAAACTTTGAAACGAAAAGAGGTGTATTCCTTTATAAGCAAAACTAAACCTTGTCTGCACTATAACACTATAACATTTTTTCTTATTTAGACTTTTTGACTTCTATAATGCTGTAGTTTGTTTGTTCTGGTTATCATGTATCGGAGAGTAGTACTTGTTGTTGTAGTTGTTTATTTTAATGTAAGTTGGATTTTAAGCTTTCGATAGCAGAAATGGAATAGAAGTGAGAAGTTTTTCCAATCTTTCACCGTTGGTATATTACAAACTGTTGCAGACTGCATATCCGGGAACAAGTGTGCGGAATGTTTACGATGTTGCTGACTTGCGTGCACAACTCGGATCTTTTGGTTTAACTGTTCGAGATATTCCAGGAGATGGAAACTGTCTTTTCAGGTACTATGTGCTTTAAAATTGCAAACATTCTGGCGATGATTACATTGGTCATCTATGATTACAGTCGTACAATTTTAAAAATGTTTAGTTCTTGGCTGCATTTACAATTTTTACTGGATCGAAGTTCTTTTTTTTTCCAGAGCTTTGGGTGATCAGTTAGACGGTCACACAGGAAATCATCTGAAGTATCGCCTCGATACGGTTCGATATATGATGAACCATCGTGGTCACTTCGAACCGTTCATCGATGTTCCTTTCGATCGTTATGGTTGGTAGTTTTTAAAAATTTTTTGGATGAATTTATTTTCTAATGTTAATTTTTTTCCGAACTTTTCCTGAGGTTTTCTGGACCTTATTGATTCTGTAGTTTGGAAACCTGCTGTATTTTTCAGCCCTCGTACCTTGTTGATTCTTCAGGAGTTCAGTGGCAATGGCATATGAGACACAAATAGAGTATTATTTTGAGACACAGATTTAGCTGAAGCTTATTTCGTATTAGGACTTTTCTAATTGATCAAGTTTTCTAGTTTAAAAGCAAATTATGAATTTCACAATTTATCCTTTTCACTGGGAAATTGCTCAATGCAAAGGTGGATTTCCAAAAGTTTAATACGAGCTTATGCAAGCGGTCGTATTGTGACGGATACTTATTAAATAAGGATAGTTATGAGGTGTTGGATGAAAGTAATGGTCGATTTTGATGTTCCAGGAAATCTTTTGAAGTATGGAATTGAATTTGACTTTTCATGCATTATTAGTCACATTATTGTTTACAGTAAATGATTTGAGCCGTCCCGGCACTTACGCTGGACAGGATGCACTTGTGGCGTTTGCACGTTTACACGAAGTGAACATCATTATACATCAATTGAATAGACCGCTATGGAAGATTCAGGGTACTGAAAATAGTAATGCTCTCGAACTTCACCTTTCATATCATAACGGTGAACATTATTCAAGCGTTCGTCGTTTCGGTGATATCGCGAATACTCCTGCTGGAATACGCATGGTACTAAGTTATTGTTTCTAGAACAAAAATCATTTAACTTGTGTCGATTCCATCTTCTGTTAAATATGACTATCTTGCTGAGACAAGTAGGACACTTATCGCAGCAAAAGGAAAAGAAAAAAAAGCTGTAATCCAAGGGAGAATTTTTGAAATATGCACTGATGTTTATTACCAATAACACTGTTCTCTGTCAAATAGCGATTAATGTGTTGACAATATTGGAAATCAAAATTTCAAAATTTTTAATGGCACACAAAATTTGTAAAATTGGCGCACAAAATTTGTAAAATTTATAGAAAACGGTGTTTGATTCGGTGAATTTCAAGGTCTGGCCTTCATTTTTTTTTCCTCCGTTCCGGCGCTCTGTGGTATTGTGTTCCACAGTGCTGGAAAGTCTTTGTACAGTTATCACAGGTAGAGGGGATCGGTGTTCATGAATATAGGACATACAGTTGCTTCCAGGAACCATGTAATGCAATCATAAGCTTGACTAATGTGGAGATATATGCAGTCCATAAAAGTGATGCATGTAGCAATTTCGTATTTATAAAGTGGACTACAAAGGAAAAACACTGACTCAATTTCTGAAACTATAGTGTCAGGGTGGTATTACTGTTAATTTTATTATTAATTATAATGGTGATATTATTATTAATTGTAATGTATAACGAAGAACAGTTGGTTCCAGTACTTTCACATTGGTCATACCTTGTGCTTTTGTAGGCTCCAACTACTGTTCCGTGCTGTGCATCACACAGTGTGTACACATCTACGAAACCTATCACTTCCCATGCGAATTCTGGTAATTTACAACAGTCTGCAGCAAATTTGCATAAACACAGTGTAGATGCTTCAAATAAAGGAGCTGTTCATACGTACTTATATGGGGAAGACGAATTCACTACTCTGGTTCACGAAGTACATTTCATTACTTTTAGACGAGTGCATTTCTTGGTTAATTTCACTAAACATGTTTTATACGTTTCAAACAAGGTTTCAAATACACTTGTTGTTTGTTGTGTCTTTATATATGAAATAGTGATATAATCTATATAAGGTGCACTTTCTTCATAAGTTTATATTCCTAAAATTCTTTTTGATAATTTTTGATAATAATAGTCCGCGCTATTAATCAGGTGATGAATCGTACTGGGTGCCGTGATGCTACCTTAGCTACAGAGGCTCTGATCGAAAATTCGGGAGATTTGGATCAAGCTGTTGATTACCTCTTGTCGGTTGCATTATTTGTTGCCCCTGGCGATGATGGAAATCTTTCCAAATCGATAAACCAAAGTAGTATAGAAATGGAGGGTAAGCTCTGCTACTCATTAATTAGAAATTTCTTTGAACTGCGCGACTGCTAATTTGACATCGAGTCAGACAGGAGCAAGTGTTGAAGTAACACTAGCATGCTGCTTTTGATTTGCGAAGTGCATAACATAGGATATTCCTTTTGTTCTTATCCGAAATATGTTAAACTTGCTGAGGTAAATAAACAACACGAAGATAATATATGATTATACTAGTAATGATACATTTCTTTTATTTTGTAATCCTTTTTAAGAAAATCTTTTTTTTTTTTTGAATCCTTTACTTCATGAGTTCTTCCTCTGCATGGCGAGGTAATCTGACATATTGCGTTCTGCTGTTATACTTTTTTGTTCTAGAACACAGAATATTGAAAGGGCGAAACACTGAGGATGTTGACAGGCATCGTACTATACCAGCTTGTCCAAGCCGTGCTACTATTGAGGTATTTTTCAGTATTTCTTGTGCAAGTGGAAATTTTAGGATTATTTCTGTTAGTAGAAAGAAGCTTAAACTATAGAGCTTGAATGTACACTTATCCGATACGCCCTCTTTCGGAATAAGTCAAGCTAATAAAGTTGACACATCCAGTCAGTTTTGACGTTTCTTGGATTTTAGTGGCTTAAGGGATCTAACTTCTTTCAAAAATTTATAGAAGAGATGGGAAGAGGAAGCGAGAAGTAATTTGATAGTCTTATCGGAAATAGGTTTCAGAATCATGGGTCTCCATTTTTTAAATCTTATTTTGTAGTCGAGATATCAGGCACTAAAAATTTATGGTTTTATAGCTTACTGCATAAAAAGCTACTTATTGCTTTTCTCTGAATGAGGAAACTGTATCCGTAGTCATTTGGAGGAAATCAGTCCAGTTCGACATTGACAAAAAACCTGAAGATATTTCATAATCCGTGAGTGTTTTAGCTGATAGCTTCTGAGCAAGAGGAGAAACGGGGGCGCAAACAAGGTGGTGGTAATATATCGGAGGAGCATCTAAAAAAGCAAGGTGATCTTTTTTTTTGACACTGTGATTAAAACATTTATGCTGTAATAAGAGTATTTTGCCATTTGTTCTTTCAGTATGCTTTCTCTAGATAGTTTATCACAGTTTTTAGTCACAGATTTAACGAAAATCAGTCTCATTTATCATTAACTATGTTTCACAATACTACGGTTATTATATATATTATTGCTCTTAGATGTCATGTTTGATAATGAAAACTTGAGGGCTCAGTGTCCGGTGTTGTTTAATTGAAACAGAAAAATGAAATCTGGATACCATTTACTCAACACTATTATTTGAAAAGGCATGGGTAAAAAGTGCGCTTATCTTTCACTTATCCCTGCAATAAAAGAAAACTGAATAATCAGAAATGTATGGTGAAATGTATACGATCAATATTTTATAAATGTCGGCACAGTATGCATTTCAGCGTTAATTCCGTTCAGTGCTGGGAATTCATATGTCTCCCAGCTGGAAGAATGCCTATTTTAGTGACTACTTGAGCGATAAAATGTTTCGAACACGTTGGATGAGGTTTAGGATAACTTAGTTAAACTGTGTAGTTGGCAAGAAACTGTGAAGGTTTCTCTGTGTTCGAATTTATTTTTTATAACAGGTGACATCCCAACCGGTGTACGAATAGCGGGTGATGGGGCTAAACTGCTGTCATAATAACGTTTATACTCGTTACATAAATGTAGTTGTCTCCCGCGCGTTTCTAACTACCATTTATTGTCACTATCCTTCTAGTATTTTCCATTTTTTAAAATCAGACTTTATTCGTCATTCTGTATATTATATGTTAGTCCTTTTTATGTGATGCTGCTATTAGAATGTGAGTACGTTCACGCGTGAATTCACTATGTTTTAGTGTAATTAATCGTTAATAAATTCCATACAGATATCGCTATGATATGTGCTAATCACTTCATGTTCGGAGAATTGCTGTAGATCGATGGAAAATACTGAAAGAAGAGCAAGAAGTGGTCAAGGCAGGTTGGTTCATAAGGAATCCGGAATATTTCAACGAAATAAGCGGGTGAAGTCATGGGAATCCAATGAAGATAAATGTAATATGTTGAAGCTGCAAAGCTTAGCATTACTCATGTCGCTACTCTAGTGGATACCTCTTGAATGGTGTATCTCGTCCCCTCCTAGTTTTGTAAAAATGCATTATAATTGCATGTAGTGCATCAACTGTAAGTGGCGAAGGGGAGGGGTTTGCAACACTCGCTCGCACGACTGCGAGCTCCCGCAGGTTAACTTGTATACCCCGCCCTGGCCGCACTGTCCCACCCCCCGATGTTTGCTTGCCACTCAGTTGTTGGTTGGTTAGATCCATCAGCTGCAATCCGACGAGTCCGCTTTGGTGCAGTGGTCGTTGCTATTCTCCCGTAACTCACCTTCATACTTCCCCTATATGAGGAGTGCACAAGGACCCTTATGCTCTGTGCTGTGCGGACATGAGCGTGCACTTAAGTAATGTGCTCATGTATGTGAGTACGCGCGTGTCTGTGTGTGCGTGTGTCTCTGAATCGGTAACATATACAGTCTGCTATATCTCGGAATGCCACAAGAGCATCTCTCAATGCCGTGGAATATCGATGTGGTAATGCTCCACTCAACTCCGTCTCAACCCACCATTCACTAACTCTGTCTCTTTGTGCAACGGACCGCTCGTGGAGACGCGTCGCCTTCCATTCTTTTCATTTCTCCTCCACTAGCAAGAATTATCGACTGTGTTGGGCCGTGATTTGTTTGGATGTCGGCCAGCATTACCCATTTTTTCCACTTCTCACTCGAGGACATGACCAGAGCTTCTGACCGTGAATTACGTGGTGGAATGTTAGCCTTACACGTTTTAATGTATTTCGTCACATTATTTTGAGTATTTTTTGTCCTCTTATCACTCCTCAACACATCACTTACCACTTTTTTAAGTTTGATGTTAACATGCAGATTTAGAAGCGATGTCGTGTTTTCTTTTTTTTTTAGCTGTATCATTGCATTCTTCACTAGGCTCTCACTTGTGATCATTGCAAGAATGTCTGCAATGCATCACACACAAAGTTAGACCGACTTGTCATATGCGGGATTCCCACCAGTTAATCGAGACAGTCATCTGAACCCACTTGTTCTGTCGTATTCAGTGACATTAGCTCATAAGGTGGCAGCATCTGTTAATGGACGCACATGGCATCTGTCTTCCATGAGTATGACTGAATTTGTGTCAGTATTTTTCATATAGTTCTTACTAACACCTGGGAAAAAAAATTTGTTCCATCATTGTTGCTTTTAATCCCATAAATGTGTGCCTTAACATTTCATTCTCCCACCATCTCTAAGTCTTTTCTGAAAGAAAAGACTTTTGTCTTTTCTGAAGCATAACTGTCCGTCCTGGAAAGTTAGCGAACAAGTAAGAATGTTCTATTCCGTTTTATCCGTTACCAAATTTTATGTTTGCGCTGAAATACTTAGTTTGTTTCCTTTATCTTCGACTTCGCTTAGTGTGATGAGATTTCGTCCTTTTATTTTCAGTTACCAGCAAACTTTCCTCGGCCACAGTTCTTGTACTCGTAGTATGAATACAGTAGAACTTTGTCCGGTATCAGTGCTATATTTCAGTTTCAGTTTAGCTATCATTTCCGTCATTCGACTCAATCTTGGATATTTTTTTCATCAGTAATACCTGTGGCGGATTATTACTCACATAATTTCTGGCACTAGCTGTGTTAGGCCTGAAATCGAAGTTAAATCCAAGTCTGGTACATCCTTCCCTCTTCTTCGCCATATTCTTTGCCAGTCGGAGCTCACCCTTTTATTACTGCTTTGCTCCCCTCACTATGCTTCTGCATTTTGTTGCCCTACTTTTTTTTTCGTTTCAGATTGACTTACAAGAAGTCAGCTGTTTTCTTGCAGCCACTCTTCACTCATTCTTTCATATGTCAGATTTCCTTATCACTATCATATATCAATGAAATTCATTCAGAATCCACTAAGGTGGTTCGTAGTTTTGTTTTCTGAATTACGTTTTTTGCTTACAGAATTAAACCCTTCTTGTCAGAATGAAGTTTTCAAGAAATCAGTGGAGCGGGAATATGAGTGTAACAAATGACGTATTACAGAGATGATGGTAGAGTATGGTACACGTGATAGACATATTTTATTGTAAGTTGTGAGGTACTTATCGTCCAACTTTCGATTCATCTCTCTTCCTAAATTTCAATCTGAAAAAGTTGAAATAACTTTGGAGAAGGAGAAAGAAGCATACTTCTGCGTAGTGTGGGTATTTTCTGACATACCATGGGGAAGGAGTGGATGGGTATGGCAATCGTCTTGGATTGATGATGATGATGATGGTGGTAGTGATGGCGGTGACGGTGACTATCATAGGATAAAGGAAGGAGGGGTCAGAGTGGTGATGATGTTTGGTCTCCATCCTCTTCTTAGTTTATGCTAACCACCGATCTAATTGTTGCGATTTCCTTGCAAACGGACATAGAGTGACTGCTGAAACAGGCAAATACGGCTTAGAGGGCACCTCCATCCATGCGTTGAGGCAACGGTACGCACGCGAGTTATTCAGTTGCCGATCTATTTCTCGATCTCGGTGTGTTCTGTTAAGATGCAGCTCGGTATAGGTCGAATGATAGCATGTGTGTTGATAGTGATGGGTTGAGGAGAGCGGTCGTCATTAAGTAATGGCATAGCAATTCGATATAGGAGTGAAAGGGAGAAATTTAGAGAGGCAGTTTGATAGAGCGATAGAGTTAGTGAGGATGGATGGGAGATGCAGAGCAGCAGAAGGAGCGAGGTGATTTTGGCGGTAATGCTGAAGATTTTATGGTCACTGCAGCATAGAGGAGGCGTTACTATTGGCGAGTTGCCATAAGGGTGAACCGAACCATTGACGCGAAGCATCTCTTGCGTATCCGTGCGAAGATTCAGTGGGGCACTTTAGGCTCCACTCTTCACCATTCTAATACTATGCAGTGTTAGCCTCTAACATTGGCACCAATGAAACTCGAGCAGCATACGGCGTGCGATCCCACAGTGATATGTAGTATTTGCATGTTGCCCATTCCTTTCTGACATCGGTGTATGTGTGTGTGTGTGTGTGTGTCAAAGTTGAGTAGGCGATATGCTAGTAGTGTTGTGACATATATGTTGCAGTCAAAGTGACTTTGTAGTACGCTTTGTATGGTGGACGTCACGTCATTTCGTAGACATTTATTTTAGTCATTGCATAGCTCAAACCCTTAAATCGATAGTTTTTTTTGGGAACTGGAAACCTAATGTATTGTCTCTTGAGAGATATCATTGTTGTATTTCTCAGTGCTACAAATATTATGGTTTTATTTGCCGTTATCAGTTCACTTTGGTGGATAATTTGATGAAATTGTCATGTTGATTGCAGGCTTTTTTTTGTAGTTACGCACTGCCGTAGTAGTGTAATCATATTGTGAAAATCCGAATAATACTATCAAAAGATGAGCGCAGTTGATGAGCGAGTCGCCGAAAAGAGGAAATTGGAGGAGAAAGATACTGAGAATGGTGTGGCCGCTAAAGGAGCCAAAATTGAGAATGGGATTGTTGCGGTAAGGTTTTATTAAATTTCAATCCATGTTATTCTAGAATATCGACGTGGATAACTACATTTCGACCACCGGTTTTCTAAACATCATTTAATTTCACTGGAGCGGCGTAGTGGATAGTTGAAACTCTATTTCAAAAAAACCCTGTTAGGGATTTGTCCATTTAATCGGCTTCATCGTAATGTTGGTTGTGGGGAGTGGATAACGTGATATTAGCAAAGAAAATTTTAGAATTTGAAACTACCTGGACTCCAAAAACGTCGTTCGTTATTTCCTCAACTCCAGAGAAACGGTCTTCGGTACTTTTTTCTTTCTTTTTACTTTATATGGTGAAAGTGTCCTTACAAATCGTTAGAATTGTCATTTTTAGGCTGCAGGTGATGCGCAGGTCAGAGATTTAAGACCAGATAAGAATGCTTCCCTGAAAGGTTTTTTATATGTTTTCCTTTTTTTTTTCGAATCGATCACTTATTTGGAGCACAATTCCATTGCTGTCTCAAAACCATTTTAAGGATTATACAAGTATGGAGAGTCAAGATGAAATGTTTGACAGGAGGTAACTGAAAGTTAGAAATTGCCGTTTGAGCGGAAATTATTGTTGGAGGTATTTCGAAGCGTACATATGTTGTGTAAGGAATTTAGATTTTTCAGAAAACAAAGAAAAGACAGCAAATGAAAATCATGATGGCGAACATGAAGAGGACGGTGAGGAAGCAGCGGATGGTGAAGAGGGTGTCGAAGAATCGAGCGGTGGTGAGGATGATGAAAGTTTAGGTGACGAGGAAGATGGAGGTAGTGAAGATGATGAGGCGAGCATTGGATCCGAGGAAAGCGATGGCCAAGGTGATGGTGAAGGGGGTGATTTTGGGGAGGATGACGATGTGGAAGGTGAGGAAGGTGGTGAAAGCGAAGAATAAAGATTATAGTGATGTCGATGCCTATTACAAATTCTATATGCCGTTTTTTGTCGTCTGTTTGTTAATCTCGATCTTACAATTTATGGAAGGGTTACTCTGTTTCCAAGGTACCAGTTTGTGGATTAATAGTTGTAAGTTTTCAGATATCGTTTCTGCATATTTTGACTTATTTTCGTAGGCAAAAAAAGGAACAGTTTTCTCTGACAAATTTTTTTTTTAGTAGGTTTACGAACGTTTTCATCATTGTGCTTTTGTTATTCCACAAATTGGTTTCCATTGTAGTGAATTGGTCCTTCCAAACCGTTCTCTTTGAGGAAATTTTAGCTGTTATAGTTTCGTTTATATTTCTATTTATAATAGTGTTTGTTATAAAACTTATTTAAATATTTAAAATTTTGTTTATTACTTAGAAAAAATGAACGGATAAAATTTCTGAATTTTCCAGCTCAGCTGCATTTCCTCATAAAAGTGTGGAGACTGGGATTTTTTTTACTTTAAAGAAATTGTTGTTATTACGTTGTTTTTTTATCTTCTGATTTATTTTTCATTTATATGTTTAGATAAAATGTTGTTGGTATTTTTCTTTTTTCCCTTATTTCCCTTTCTTCGTTTGTCTTTTAGTTCAGAAATTGTCTTACGAGGAAAATCAGATTTGTTTGTTTATCTATTCATAACTTTATGTATATGTACTTCATACCCTCTATTGAGTTTGTGGAAGGTGCAGTACGTTACTCACGGTAGTGTTATGCACGTAATTAGTTCAGGAAGGAATTTGTTCATGGAATTCTGAACTTTTTCCTGGATTTTATTTTGTTTTTTGCCTGCTGGCAGTAACCATTTTTTTTCATTTGTTTGCACTGTTCGTTATATGTATATGCGGCTATTTGCACACACACGCAACAACAGTAGCGATGACTTTGTCGTGTCTTAATATCGTCACGGTTTTCCCTCTCCTTTGCAAAGGTTCCCAGATAACTTTGGTTTTTCGTGCTCGTATAAGCGTTAGTGTCACTTTTGAGCTAACTTAATAGAAATATTGTTTAACGATGTGGTTATGATGATTCATTATTTCGTATGATGTCAAAGAATGTTTTGCTGTTTTGCAGGCATTTACTTCGCTCTATTTTGTATGTGTGTGTATGTGTGCGTGTGTGTGTGTGTCGGTTTTGTTCAGAGTATTAAAAATAGCCTCATTCTGTGGAGCAAGTAATAACTGAATAACATTACGTTTCAAATGGCTTTTCGATATTAAGAGAGCGCAATAATTAGTGTCCTTTATTTGCCGCGAGGATTTCAGTTTTCCAGATGATTCGAATTGCGTTACAATTCTGAGATGGTTTTTGGGTAACTTCATTTTTTACAGTCTAGGGATTCTGGGATGAGGTAGATTTTGGTTCATTTGCACGACAAATTAAGTGGGTGAGAAAAGGGAGGTTCATGTTCACGAAGTGAGGAGGGAAAAGAAGGAAGTCCAAAAGTACTTGAAAGGGTAGTCAGCTTTAAAAAAAATTCTTTGGATTGTCCTTAAGTATGTCAAGTATATATTAGCGGGACCTTTGGTTGGTGTTGGTTTTCTTAAATGCAAGTTTTAGAAATCTAGAAACTCTCCTCAAATTATATGGGCACTTTGAATCCGTTCTTTACGGTGCAGGAAGTCCGACGTTTCGCCTCCATCCCCATCAAGAATTTTTCGCGAATCAATACCGATGGATCAGTGACCGGAATGGTCAATAACCCATCGGTATTGATTCACGAAAAACACTTGATAGGAACGTGAGTAGTACCTTTATTGCAAATAAAGTTTATTGACAGATTAAACCTTCCTTAGTCACTTAGGTGAATACTCTTACTGATGGTAGAAGTTAATGAAAATATTCCTATTATAGTAGACCAGTGACTCCTCGATGCCATTCCGTCCTCTTTGATTCTTTGTGAGAAGTTTTTCCTTGCATTTACATTTCCTATATAGAACAAGCAAAAAGACTACTATTATCAACATATATTATATTAACAATTGAGTAAAGTAAACGTGATTCTGTCAATAATTCATTACTTAACCATGCATCACCATATAAAATTACTAATACTGAACGAGAACTACGGAACTATAATGAGAAAATGTGCATGTATATTTTTTTAAGAAGTACTTCTCAAATAAGTAAGTCATTTCGTCGATTCCTTCTGCATTCAACTGGTATCATCGCAAATGGTTAAGTGTACTTTAAAGTGTGTACCAAATTAAATGTTTGCTTAATTATGGTATTTCATCCATTACGTTCAGGATTTATTCTTTCAGGAGCCGAGCATCACTCCTCATTATCATTAACACTATACTCGTTTTACTTACCTGACCATCTAGAACAAAGTTTTTCGTCACTCTAATATCATTTGACAATTTCTCAACCAATGATTAGGATAATACGAATCATGATCTGAATAGGAGCCTGATTGATGATATGTTTGGAGGGTATTTGACTTGAGCAACGATTTCCTTTTTGAAAAATGACACTATTTAAGAAGGTCAACGTAAATATTTCTCTGCAAAGTTGAATGAAAGTCTCCCAGCACCTTTTGCAAGCTAGTTTTGCTGCATTTCTTGTTCGATTGCAGGTTATGGTCACATCTGATACAGTTTTCTAAAAGATTCGTTTGACCAGTCCTCACAACATTGTCTACTTTTGATGAAAAGTGCAGTTACTGGAATTACTACGCAAAAAAAAGAAACATTTCGAGTTATCATGACCTTATCATTTAGCTTAACCGTTCATATTGCTTGGTCATTAAACGGATGCATTTGGTCAGCACTGTTTTATTTATATCACTTGGCCTTTTTACTTTAACTGATAAAGTTTGTTTTCAATTGTCACATAACTTTTATTTTTGTCACTTGACTCATATAAACGAAACATTTCTCCCACAGATTATTGATCAGCTGCTTCCGAATCGGATGATTGTACTTATGTGACGTTTTATTTGTTGACGCATCAAACTAAATTTGGCTACCCTATTTATTCCAAAAGAAATCGATTCATCATATTTCCGGAAACTAATTTTTAAATTTTTCATAGTAATATCATCAGGATTATCCTAATTGCGGATATTCATTTAGTGCTGCATTTCATATACGATATGATCGCATATCACTTAGGTGAATTTTTAAAGGAAGAAAGTTAACTGTGAAAACTATTCACTTTACTTAAAAGTTCGTTAAACTGTCAGCCCCGAGAAAATAATACAATAATGGCGGATTCTGAAATGATAAGAATAATCATGTAGTCCAATGAAACTTAATAAATGAATCTTAAAGTACTGTACGTGCACTGTAAATGGGAATATCTTGGGCGATGATTTGCATAAAGTTGAAAAGTAATGATGAAATATTGTTATAAAGGTCAAACATTTTCTGATCATTTCCTTTGTTGCAAAATCTGCTAAATTTCTTGAATATTATCAACTATGAAGTACTTTGTTAATCTTCAAAAATTAATACCATTTTCATTTCAATTGTTATTTACAGAGAAGTAGAGGGAAATTCATAATCATCTATAAAAGAACATTATTGCCGTAGAGATTAATTATGAATTGCCAGAGGTATCAAGTAGCTTCCTAATGATATACTGCTAATTTGTTTCATTCAATCATTAAAATAGCTTAGCGAAAAAGTTCAATAATGATAACGACATTATCTTATCAGTCATACCACTGATCATAACTTCTCAATGATAATCCAATATCATTCCTAGTAGCATTTCAACAAGTAAAAAGAGAAGTAATAAGAGCAATTCCTGACAAACAGTTTTTTGATAACCGAAGTGAATTTTAACTAACGATTTCACTTTTGTGCAATTTCAAATTTTCCTTTTTAATAAAGTTTTCCTTAAATGCTAAATGCAAAGAATACTTATAATATGCAATATACCGGAAGAGATTATTTCTTTTATAGGGAGGTGCAAAATGTTAAAAAGATTTAAAATGAGAAGAATGATCAAAAGGATCCGGAAGGAATTAAGAAATCCGATAGGAATTATTCGAAAACTGAATTTTCCGTTGTTTAAGAACTATCACTTAAACTTTAGGGTTAATTGATTCAGTCTTATGGTAATAATAAGTAATTTCAAAGCTATGTGTTTATACAATAGTTTTCAATTATAATATCATTATCACATCTATTGCTTATTTTGTTTGATGTGAAAAATAAAATTTGAATGTGAATTTTTTCTTTTGAAACAAACTATACTTTGTTTTAAATAATAATAATTCAGAAATGATTAAATATAAAAGGTTAGCTGTATTAATTATACTTTAACGAGGGATAAATTATTTCAGTTAAATGGAGAATGAATGAAAGTACTCCGTTATAAATAATTATTTATGATTTCATTGCTTGTTTACAATAATGTGGTGAATGTATGGTAAAATCTACAGTCATATAGTTAGTTTACAGTAACATTTATAGTAGTACGATAAAATAACAATTAATTGCTAATATTTGTCAACTTAGTGTATCGAAATGGTTCTTGTTATCGTTGTGATTTGCCAATTATTTGATATATATAAATCTTACTACTTTTTAGTATTAGTTATTTGTGAAATTATCAATCAACCATTATCAGTAAACCTAGAAGACTTGCCAGTTATTTATCGTCAATTTTTTTTACATAGTAGTTTTTTTTTTTAGGAAAAAAAGTATTTTATTTGTTCGATAACTTCCCTTATATCTTTTTGCTTTTATTCCTTCTGTTGACCTCCAAACTGTAATTTTTTTTTCGTAAATGAAAAACAAAGAGAAACTTGTTTCTACTTTTGCTAAACATTCTAACCGATTCATTTTCCCTTTTTTTTCTCATTTTCAAAACTTTTTTGTTTCATTTTTTGCGAATGGAAAGTGAAAATTTTCGAATTCTTCAACAAAAAAGTATTCACTTTAAACGCTACGAATGTTTAAAGTTTAAAGTTTCGCTTCTCAGTCAGTTAATGTATTTGAAATTGGTGAAAAATTTGTAAAACATTATTTGAAATAGAATTTTATTACATTGGTAAAGCATATGGTGCTAGTATGCTAAATCAGTTAAGTTTGCAAAATGAAAATAAGTGGGCGACAAAAGTTTATTGGGCCAAAATTTGAAATATCTCATCAATTTTCAAATTCCCTTTGAAAGGTTTCATTTATGTCACTGTCAATATCCATTGCTGTACTTCGGGTTACGCCAAACAAATGACAAACAAGACAATGTGCCGATCGGTCTCTTCCTTTCTTCATTTTTCTATTCCTTCTCTTATTTGTTTGCAAAATATACCAAAGACTAGCATTTATGTTTGTATTGAAATATTAGAAAGTGCAGAAGAATTATTGCACTCATAAAATTTAACTTTCATCTTTTTTTCATCATTTATTTTTGTTACACACTGTAAAAGTTATTTTAAACACCAATCCTTGAAATAAGTTAACTTTTTTTTTTTAAGGAGGAGAGAAGAAAAAATTAATTATAAAAGTTTCTGATATTATCTGAAGAAGATTAGATTACAAAATCCTTCAATGGAATTCGATCTCTTTGTTAAATTCGTTTTTTCTTCCTTTTATTTCATTTCGTTCGTTCAAACTTATCAATACATAGATTTGTTGATAATTTTGTTAAATTCCTCATTTTCTTTCTGTCCTATCATTAGGTAATAAAAATGATTGCATATTGATTTTAATGGAAAATTAGCACTTTTCTCAGAAGTTTTATATGCAAAACATAACGAAGGCTTATCGGAGAAATTAATTTTCTAAAGTCTGAATAATTTGTCATATCATTAGAAATGAGAATACTAATTTTATTTACAGCGAAAATTATAATTAATGCAATTAGCGCAAGTATTTATTACAAATAGTTTAGTATCTGCAGAATTCATTTAAACAACAATCATTTGTTCAAATTTATTATTCAATTCGTAATATGTGCGTAATTCAAAACTGGCAATTTGGTCATGTTTTGATAATATCTTGTTTCTCTTTCTTTTCTTTTATCCTGTTTTATGTCATATGTCACATATCATGTCATATCTTTATGTCTTTGTCATCACATCATTAATTACAATAATTGCCATTAAATCATTTTAAATCAATTTTATGCAACAATTTTTATTTTATTGAGCTTTTTATGAACGAATTTTTGGAAAATTACAGTTCATTTATTGTGTTTCATTCAATTCTTCTATTAGCATTAATATCTTTTTTCTTCTATCATATTTATGTCAAATGTCACATGTCGTGTCATATATTTATGTCTTTGTTTTTATATCAGCAGTTAATTAATTAAAGAATGATTGATGGATACAACTAAGTTATGCGCATGATTTCTTCCGTTTGCTTGATCGCTATATCAATCGTTTGGTATGGGGAATGTTTTAGCAATATACCGTTGGCATCATATAATTTAAAGGTGATAATTATTTTATTATCAATTTATAATTTAACAATGTTTAATTATTTTATTAACAATTTCATGACAAATAAGATAATAGATTTATCGAATAGCTAAGGAGCTCATGTATTCTCATAAACTATATATATATAATTGTTTCTTTACGTAAAAAATTCTAAATACATTTTAACCTAGACGAATATGTCATCTTGCGTCATTTATCACCTTGTTAGCTATAAAAATTAACTTTTAAATAAATTAAATTAAAATATTCAACTTCTATAGACAACTTAATGAGAAATGAAGAATTAAACAAAATGATGCAAATGATTCTTTCATTCTTTTTCTTTTTACACAATTTTTGTTGTAATATTTGGGATAAATTTGTTTACACATATCAATTAGAAGCATTTGTTAAAGCATTTCCTTTCACGATAATTATTTCACTTATTGTTATAAATTGTTGAGCATCTGTTCAAAATTTTCCATCCCTTTTTTCTCGAAGTTTACTAAAGAATACCTAATGAACAATCAATTACTGTCACCTCCTAAGGAACTAAACATTCAAAATTATGCATGTCATACATTATACATATATAAAAATAATTTTAAATTTTAAAATTTCTATTTTGATTAATAAAGAATTAAAGTTCTTCGGTAAATATTTGAAATTTTATGTTTCATTTTGTTTTTTTTTCTATCTTTTCGTAAATTCTTAACAGTCTATTTATTTTGAAATATTAAATTGGATGAACGGAAATAATCGGTTGTGCTTCTTGCTGAAGATATTATCCTTGCAACTATTCTTCTATCGTAGTTAATTTGATAAATTGTGCTTATCAAACTGATTAGAATTCTATGTTGGAAGAAAGTTGTGCTGTTTTAGAGAATTATTAGAGTGATAAGATTTGAAAGATAATGAATAGAAAATTGATAAAAACTGAAAATTGAATGAAAGATTACCATTAAAATATTCCAGCTTTTGATTTTGATGAATGAACAAAAAAAAAGCTTAGCTCTAATATATATTATTTTTTCTTTAATGTTCATTAAGGCGCAAAGTGAACATTGAAACTCTTCTTGTCACGTTTGACGTACAAACGTTTTGTTGACAGATATTACAGTCAAAGTTGATATGAAACTTCCAAGAAATATGTTACATATGGAACAACTTCTGAAACTTTTGTATCAAACTCCTGATAAGTTAGATTAGTAATGATAACACAAGGATGGGATACGGTAAATAGAAAGTGATAAGAAAGTTTGAACGAAATAAAGCTGCAGATATATTACATTCACTAAAAACGGCTACTATGAGGTCATCAGAACCACCAATTTGTAAAGGGTAACCAATAAGTCATTTCATTTCAGCTTTACTGTCGTAGTGGTCAATCGCATATCCCGGAAACTCGAATTCCCTCTTTATGTCCGTCATCCAGCGTCTCTTGCGGTTATTTCGAATTTGAAAAAATATTATTACCGGGAAATAAAGAAGAATCGTTAGGGATCTATGAATGTATCGATTCCAGCATTCTTATGCCTGATAATGATGATAATGATGAGATAAAGCAGGTTTATATGTTGCATATTTGTTTAAAAAAGTTGAATTTTTTATTTACCGTATTTTCCAATATAATATAATATAAAAAATCACGGCAAATTAAAAAAGTTAAGAAATACCAAGGGAGTAAATTAATTCTGATAACTGGAATTACAGTACGGTATAAGAAACATTACTTCTTGATACAATCACCAAATCTGATTGTTACTATTGTAATCGAAATGCCCTATGACCTCTTCCATTCAAGAATCAAATGGTTTTTAAACAATGCTGCTTGATTTATATATGTGGATATTTAAAAAAAAAATCAGTTGACATTAATTAGAATTTTTTAAATAATACAAAGACAATGAATTAGTACTGATAATTGGATAATTAAAGAAGTCCAAAGACTGATTGTTTAAGGGACTTTACTTCAAATTAAAATAAATCGCTATAATTTGATTCATTCGCAAAGTTTCAATGTATTCTAGAATATAGAATAAAATCAAATGAGTAATCATTTGTAGAAATTAAATTATTAAAATCATGGTTGAAATTTTGACTAAAATAAAAACAAATTGAATATTAAACTTTTCCAAATTTAAAACTTGAACACATCGCATAAGTACTAATTTATTTTAGTTACTATTTTCGAAATATTGCGATGACCAGGCACGTTGTCGAGAGATAATGCTTTCTTCACTCAATCCCGAATTTGTTAAATATTTAATTAGACGAGGTGACGATAGATATCTAAACACAAGGGTTGACGATAATTTACAACGACTATTAATGACAAAGCGAATCAAATTTTGTTGCGCCATAAATGATCATCTTCTCCAAAAAATTATACAATTTGATGATTATGTTCTTCGTAAGTTTTTCTTTTCTCATATCTATTTATCTCCGATAAATCTTTCTTTTAATTAAATCAATAAATGGAATATAAATTAATTAGGAATTATTTTAAATTTCATACAATTAAACTTTTGTTCTTTCAAACTCTTTTATGGCTCCTTAAATTCTATTAAGCAAAATTCGAGGGGAAATTAATTGGTATTTTAATAAGAGAGAAAATACGAGTGAACTTTTTTATACAGCTACATTAGCACCTCCCGAACCAGTCATCTGCAACAATGTTCGTTGTCGAGGTGCACCAATTGGATGTCTCAGTTATTCAATTGAAAAATACAACCGAACACAACAATCGGAAGAAGAAGATGTCGTATTTGTACAACCTGTGCATATTAATTACGAGGATTATACAATGGTTTCATCACATGTATACACTTTTTTATAATTTATTTAAAATATTACAAGAAAATATTTCGAGAATTATTCTTCAAAGTATTGTGAAAGAAAAAAGAGCAAAGATTACAAACTTTATAATTTTGTTAAAACAATAAATTCTTCAAATGATTAAACTGAATTATTTAAATTTACTGATGTATATTGATATGATATATATTGATATGATAATAATTCATTTCATTTCTAGCACAGTGATATTTCAACTGATATAACAAAAAGTTAATTATTTGTTTTAGTCTCTAAACAACAAGTATATGATGAAGTATACTACTGAATATCATTGTGTTTATCGACATTTCAATGATGAAATGTATCGATACTGTTTGCTGATACATGATCAGTTGTCCAATAATAATCATTGCTTCTATGGTGATGGTTATCAGATATGCTGTTGTTTCCTTCACAGAGGTATCATTTATCATTTCATCATTTTCAATTAATTCGCTCAAGTAAGCATATTAGTTGCAATTTTGGAATTATATTTCCAATTTAAAAAATAAAAAATAAAGTGAATAAATTGTTTTCAGGAGCTCGAACTTGTGATCCGTTATCAGCAGAAACGATAATGAGGATATCTGCAGAAGTTCCTGAAATTGTCCCTAATAGATCAACAGTATCTCTGCATACTTATAATGCAGATGTTAAGATTAAACTTCGTACTAGGTTTTCTATATTTTTCGGAAATTAGATTTTTTGTTCTTCCTTGCCTAAAATGCAAATTTTAATCTTTTGAAATTCAAATTTAAACATATGTATTTATTGTTTTCAACGAAACATGTGCTAATGCATGCAGACAAAGCTAATCAAAATAAAATGCCATTTAGTGATTTATTTGATACTTCTAATTACCTAATGTTCAGCAAATAAACTCAATTGATTATTCATTAAACAGTTAATCAGGGATTTTAAAATTAATCGTTTTCACTGAATCATGAATTAAGAGAAAATGAGCGCAAATGTCTTATTTCAAATTTTTTCATATTTTGTTAATCATGAATAATAAAAAATAGATTACTACTTTTTATATTTAACATACCTCTTGAGAATATTTTGAAGGAAAAAGAAAAAAAAATGATAAAAAATAATTATTATTTTATATACCATATCATTTGATTTTTCTTCTCATTATATCTCCCTTACCCAATTATTTTATAATTAATCAGTATTATTTCAGTATATTTTATTATCATTGTAAGTTCAGATGTCGCACAACTTATGAGATGCCACCAGAATCTGAAACCTCGATGAATCGCAATGGTCAAAAAAAATTCCTCTGCAAAACAGACGTTATCAGTATATCTCATACACTCTATTCATGTCATATTTTACTGATAATTTGTTACTTAATTAGTGATTATCCTAATATATTTGCTATTTTGTAATTTTTTTGTGAAGAAATGAGCTTAAACAGTTTTAAACTGAGAGAAGTAAAAAATGACTTTGTACTGGTTTTTCTTTTCTAATTCCTTTCTAAGTTAAGATTAAACGTAGTATTTTTGTAAAAAGTTAGGAACGAACAATTTTTTGTTTCCTATGAAAACTATTGAATGGCAAAGAATTGAAATGAAGCAGTAATAGTAAATGATAGCTTTAATTGGATAATTATTATTAATAGTGCTAATATGCAATGATTAATGGCTGTTTGCTGTACTATAATATTAGTGAAATTTTAAAATTTGCTCAAAAATAAATGAATTTTTGGTGAACGACAGATTAATTTAAGAGTTTAAAGGTGATATTTTGAAAGCAGTCAGAATTTCTTAACAAAAATGAATCAATGGTTTTTAATGGGCGGGAAATGAAGCCAAGGAAGAAAAAAAATTGTAATTTATTTATAATTAAAATAGATATAAAAACTCGTATTTTAACATATCTTTTTTAACAAAAACTATAAAATTAATGATTTAAAAGATTTGAACAATTAAAAAAAAAGTGTTGCTAAGAAAAAAAGTCTGTCATTTTCACTTTTTTCCCAGAAATAATTCATTTGTGAATTGTTTAGTACTCTTTCAAAGAATTCACTTTAAAAACAAATTTTAAAAGTGTAAGCATATTTTCTCTCTTTCCAACCACAAATTATACATACATTAAATTGATTGCTTCCAAACTGATTATGACACTTTTTCACGCATCTTCCAACAATTTCCATTTCATTACTTTTCTCAATTTTATAATAAAATATTAAAATAAATATTAATAACCTTGAATGCTTCATTTCCAAGCAGAAAGCTCTCTTAAACAAATTTTTTTAAAAAAAAAATGAAGATTCTTTAAGTTTAAAATTGGTATCCTACTGCTTACCCTTTTTCTCCATTATCTGCCTAATCATAATAAAAGCCTTTTTATCGACAGTAATTTTAGAAATTGATAAAGAATAAAAACACTCCAAATTTTCATCAATTAAAATTACATCTTTAAAAATTAATAAATTCCATAGAATTCTTACCAGTACATTTCAAACTTGTTTGTTTTTTCCTTTTTATCTAAAAAGTATAAACAAAATTGATATATACAGGTCAAGTTTGTCATCACTTCATGGTTTGCATGAATTTTTCTGTGATCGAATTATCATGCATATGAATCGTGTTATGCTTCAGTTCACTCGGGATTATTCCGGTAGACCTGAACAGTCATTGATTGATTTTCTTCTCTCATTTCCACTTGTTATCTTTACATAGAAGAATTCCTTGAGATAATTGAGGAATTTAAAAAGCAAACCTTTTCTAATATTTATTTTATCATTAATGAATGATTAAGCAATCAGTTTATTTCTAACCCTTCTTTTTTTTTCTCCCATCCCATCCTCTTATTATTATTTAATTAGTTTCGTTAAATGAGAAAAACAACTTTAGAGATAATAAGTGTTAATTTAACTTAATCACAAACTGTGAAATGATATAATTCGAATTGAAATGAGAAGTAATTTCGTACTTTCAGAATATTGTACAAACAAGCAAACAGTAAGTGTTATTAAAAAATATAATTTTCTATGCTTTTAAACAAAGAAGTAAAATTTTCAACTTTTAATTGAAATTTTATAAGTTTAAAAATCCTGTAAAATATGAAAGTCTTTTTTTTTATTTTTTTAGCAAAAGAGCATTTTAATGCCGCTTATTTTGGCTCCGTTAGCAGTACCAGAAGATTACATTTCATCGTCATTTGGTATGTTTTTAATTATGCATATTGTGCTGTAGTGATATTGCCATCTGAAGGGTGACATATGCTTATAGACGACATTGCTGGGACAGAGATAAATGCGCCCAACGAAGAAATGAATGAAAAAAATGGAAGGAATATAAAGGAAGAAATGAAAAATTCGATGGAATCGATGCTGTCTCCACTGATTACATATATGCGACTGCTTGGCTTTACAAACACAACAAATAATGGCAGATTAAAGAAACCTTTATTATTTTACAATATTTCGGTGATAATTTGTTTGGTAAGTGAATTTGAATTGTTATAATCAGGAAACTGATAATGATGGCATTAGTGATAACGATATGCATGAGGGAAAAAGAAATGATGACGACAACAACAACAACAACGGATGACTCTGATAATATTTCGAAGTAAAAAAGGACTGATAACAGATAAAATGAATGAATTAACCTATTAATTTATAAATTCCAGTTCAAAAACAAAGCTTGGAAATTAAGAAGATAACAAAATTCTTTGCGTGCAATATTTAAATTACTTATGTCAAGAACATTTCTTGTCATGTTAAGTAATGTCACTTGATAGTTCTAAACAATTTGAAGAGAAAATTTGTCTGAGAGCAAATTCTAAATTCCTAAAAACTACAAAAATAACTGAATTTTAGTGAATAAATTATCTTTGTCAAATAATTTTTTTCAAATGGAAACATTGCTGCATTTTAATTATTGCAGAATTATCACACAATACACAAACTTCTGTTACTGTCATATGATGGATTTACGGTACGATTTGCATTTACCACTGCAAGTGCACTCTTCTTAGCAAGGTAAAATTGATGAAATAATTCACATTTTGAAAATTATTCCTCCCTTCAGTTATTTAAAAATATTTCTTTATTTCAAATAACTTTTCCATCTGTTTCGTTTTTTTTCATTTTTGACTGCTATAAAAATTTTTCATTTTTTGATCTTTCCGTAAATTAATCCCGTAAAAATGTAATATTCAATAACCAATTTTCAAGCTAAAATTTACAAAATTAATATCGAAAATTAACGAATGAAATAATTTATTAATGAACAATTTTATAGTGGTGGCATTTGTGCATCGTTTTTGTATTTCATACAAAAAAATCTGACAATGTTGAACGAAGATGTTATCAGTCAGATAGCATCATTTGATCAAAATTTTTATTGCTCGAAAAGAATACGACAAATATGCAAATTAATAGTAGCTGTTATTTTCGTATCTTCTTGCTTTACCGTCCTTTTCGATAGCAGTTTGTTTTCGTTTTTT